ACTTTACTTAATAGTAAAGTTAGTTACGACGTACGTATAATAGTTTAGTTTTAGTTTAGTAGTAGAGTAGTTAGTCTATAGTAGTAGTATACTACTACTATATATATATATACTACACACACACACACACACACACACACACACACACACACACACACACACACACACTCACACACAGGTAGAGGACAAAAAAATGGAAACACCTGGGTAAATGAGGGACAACAAGAAGTAGCTCATCCATTAATTAAGCATATAACATCCCAGCATGCACAGGGTCATGTATAAAAATACTGAACAGGCCTGGTTGCCTATAATCAAGGCTAGTACGACTGCAAAAGGAGACCTCAATGACTTTGTAAGAGGGGTGATTGTTGGGGCGAGTTAGGTGGGAGCTTTAGTGACTAAGACAGTTCAACTTCCTGATGTTTCATGAGCAATGGTGTTTAAGATGATGTCAGCATGGAACTATGAAGGAAGGACATCATCATCAAAGGGCAACAGAAGCGCATACCCCGGAATTATGATGTCCGTGCATTAATTTGAACTGCAAGGCAAAACAGGCAAGTAACTGCAGATCAATTGACTGCAAATTTCAACCTGGGGTGAGAGCAGCCAGTTTCATCAAAAATGGTCCACTGAGAACTCCACAGAACAGGATACAATAGTTGGGTTGCAGTGCACAAACCACTTATCACACCTGACACTGCATGGTGCAAAGAGCACAGGCTATGAACTACCAAGCAGTGGAGAAATGTGATATGATCAGATAATCATCCTTCATCATGTTCTCGACAAATGGACAAGTGCATGTGTGGCGCCAACCTAAAGAACTCTACAGTCATGAGCACTTGGTTCCAACAATGGAGGGTTCTGGTGGTTCCGTAATGGTGTGGGGCACATTTTCCTGGCATGATTTTTGGGTGCACTTATACCCTTAGAAGGCAAGGTTGATGCCAGTTGTTACTGAATGGCACTGAGTGATCATTTTCATCCCATGTTACAGCATTTCAATCCTGCAGAGAGGGGTGTCTTTGAAGATGACAATGGCCCCATCCACAAAGCATGAGTAGTTGCCTAATGATTTGAGGAGCATGACACTAATGTTATCCATATATCATGGCCTTCTCAGTCACCAGATCTGAACCCAATTGAGCATGAATGGGATATTCTGGAATGATGCCTGAGACAGCATTTTCCACATCCATCAACTAGGCGTAAGTTGATTGATTGTCTCATGGATGAGTGGTGTTACATTCCTCTTGTAGAATTCTAGATGCTGGTAGACTCTATGTCATGCCGCATACAGGCAGTACTAGCCACATGTGGTGGCCCAACACCCTATGAAGTTACTTGACATTGGTGTTTCCATTTTTTTGGTCACTACTTGTATATAATGAATAGGACATCTTGCCTTTTTATTTTTAACGTTAATCTTGATAAATTTAAGAACCAATTAACATTACATTTTCAATAATAAATCAGTCTCTAAAGCATTCTATAATTTAATACTTTTACCCTTATCTGAATAAAATATTTGTTATTGATATGGATTTTTATTTAACATAACTTTCTAATTTGTTTTATTGAAATGTTAATATTAAGCTTACAATTTTTTATTCTTAACATTCTAGGATTTAAAAAGGCCTTTTGATAAAGCATGGAGAGATTATGAAGCAAAAATGTAAGTATTGTTTCATATGAATATATTTTTGAATGTGTAATTCCCTTGGCTTTAGATGAAACCTGAAACTTTTTGTACAGCAGGTGAGTGCTCTACTAATTGAGCGAAGGGATTAACCTAATAAAAATTGATAGTAAGGCTTTTTATTTTAGAACTGAGACTACTACTTGAACAGTTGTGTTTATGTTAACCATATTAGGAGTTCCATGTGCACTCTTTATAACTGATCAGTGTGCTAATTCTCGAGTTCTTGAATTCTTCCTGATGTACCTTTATGTGCAAGAACATAGAAGTCAAGATTATTGGTCCTGCATGCTCTAAGAGTCACTCATATCATAGTACAAAGTTATTTTTCAATATTAAAGAATTGGTACTTAGGTTGGGTTTTTTTCTAATGAAAATTGCAATAGATTTTTTTTTACCACCTTTCATCACTTTGGTAAAAACATATATACTTTTGAAATATCAAAGAAAAATTCTTTCCAAAAATACAGAGCATACAGAAGGTGTTAAACAGTATCTGATGAAATAAAATGTATCTCTATTGAGTGAAAATCCTATGTTGTAGCAACTTTCTTTTATGTCATTCACAAAATAATAGTGAATTTAATTGAAACTAAAACAGTTGATTAAATTATCTTAGTCATTAATATTTGTAGTATTTAAGAAAAGAGAGCTTTTTATTTTTTAGAAGATTTAGCTAGTGGGCAATGGCCAAAGATCATGTGACATGATACAGTTAATACTATAATAAAAGTATACAACTAAACTTCTCTCTATTGTTTACTTGAAGTTACAGTTTTCTTTAGTTACAAATATTATATAAAAAGAAAGTGAACATAAATGGTTGACCAAGACAAATTTAGCAAAAATCATGGTACCTAGCCTTACAAGTGTAACAGTGATGCCATTTTCAAAGATTGGGTCCTGGGTTAGTGACAGATCATTGAGAATTTTTGCCATGGGCAAAATAAAGTATCAGAAGAAGTATGTAAATGAATAAGCAGTCAACTTGAAATTAACTGGATATACAAAATGAAACTTTCTGATCAACAATATGAAGGGGAAAACTTTTAGTGAGTTTCTAAAACAATATTTTCCAAGAAACTTTTAGGAACTTCACAACTTAAAATGATTGAATTACTAAATCATATTATATGAATTTTTTGTAGTTAAAAATCTGGTAAAGGTAATGTTTGTGATTTTAACTTTGTTAGTTCATATTTACCAAGTCATATGTAATTTGATTAAATACTTCCATTGTGAGAAAGAAAATATCAAAGGATATCAGTGAAACCTCTTCCATCTAGAAAGGGTTAATTTGAGCTGGCTGATATTATTTAAATAATCAGTCAATTATTGACAAAAGAAACTGAAGAGTTAACCATGACCAAAATTTAAAAAGCAGTTGATAGAACAAAATAATTTCTATAATATCTTAGTTCTGGTTGATATGCAAGATTTTGCTGTGCTATATATAACAGAAAAACATATTCACACTTTCTAAAAAAATAGCCATTAGTATTTCTGATTTTAATCACTTGAGCATATTTTTCTCTTGTCAAGAGTAGAGTTCGACATACAGTAATTTACATGTATTATGATGTAACTATTTCTCTTCTACAAACACAGAAACTGTTAAATGGGGCAGCCTAACATCCTGTGGCTGTAGATTTGTGAGTGTTCTTAGCTTGCCTCTGCCTGTCTTCTCTATAATCCATCTTTATTTTGAGATGTAAGATATGATATACAATGAAGCTTCTCTATCATAGAAACTAATGGGATGATGAATATTTCACAAATTTACATTTTGAAAAATAATTTATCTGTTTATGCAGAAGCAACTGAACCATCATAAATAGGTTTTCGCCATATTTAGGGTTTAAGTATAATATATTTCATTATATTTGTTATTATTTGAGTAAAAATCATAAAAATTTGGTTTTTAGTAAAATGTGAAACATGAACATTTATCGAAATATGTTAGAGTCGTAGAAAAGTATTTGTAGTTACATGACATTGTAATCTATAGTACTTCTGAAACAAAAAAAACAACAACAATGAAATAACTTCAAGTTCAAAGTGAGTGAATTCTCATTAGTCAAGGTTGAATACTGTCTTATGTTATAGTGAAGAAGCCTGTGATTCTCTCTATTTTCATACTTAATGCTTTTTCTTGATGGTTCATTTTCATTAATGTTTCTCCTTAGTTTTTATGCCTTTATTTCCCCTGTTAGACCTAAGGTTGGGTGGTGTTCATAGAATCAAAAGTGAGTCAGTTGCGTTATCCCTGGCTGTGTCATAAGCCTTCTCAAAGGGATAAGGTAAAAGAATAAAAATTAAAAATTGACTAGCCAATTAATTCAGTTGCATTATCCCTGGCTGTGTCCATAAGCCTTCTCAAAGGGATAAGGTAAAAGAAGAAAAATTAAAACTTGACTAGCCAATTAATGCCAGTAAAATTAAACAGTAATTAATTTATGTTCATATATATGTATATATATATATATATATATATATTATCATACTCATTATGTTAATGTCTTTTTAAATCATGTTCCAAATCAGTGATAAAACAGTTTATGGAACCTTTACATTTGAATGTTTAGATTCATACAACTTTCTGTAGCATGTTATGATTTTTATGTAAATGTGAATAATGGAGGTTATGTTTTGAAATGTGTATTTGAAAACTGATCTTTACATCTAGCTAGCTAATTTTTAATAACTAGACTACTGAATGAAGGTGTTTGCAGTGTTAGATTTTTGATTTAAAATGAAATAAAGTATATCTTGTGTCAAATTCTTAGACCCCTCAGTAAAATATTTGAAATGTTCATTTGGTACTAACTATGTTTTAATACCATTTTTTTCTTTTTGGTCCTCAATAGTAGATTTATCAAAATTATAATTACAATAAAATTACAATTCTTCACCATATGATTTCCCACTCATTTTGATATTAGTTCACCTAAATCTCCTAACTAAGATTATATTTAGCTTATTTCTTCTCAGTAAGCAAGTTTATAAGATATTTTAGACAACAGATTATCATCGACATTAATTTTATATTTTCTTAATTTTCTGTGTCACACTCAATGCTACTCTTTTATTGTAATACTGAATTAAAACATTTTTTGAATAGATTATTGATGTTTGTTTTGACAGGACAAAAATAGAGAAAGAGAAGAAACAACAAGCTAAAGAAGTAGGTCTCATTAGAACAGAAATTTCACCAGCAGAGGTAGGTAGTGATCTTGTATTACATCCAAATGCAGATATCAACAGTATTACACTTTTATACTCTTTCAGACTCATACGAAAAATTAGAAAATACCTTACAAGAAACACTTCAAATTCAAATGAACATAGCTACATATGACTAGTTATTACTAACTGTATAGAGAGCTGAGTATGTTATATTAAAATTATTTTGAATATGAAAATTAGCAAGTCACATGACATGTATCAGAAATACATTTTGATATTGTTTGGAATTTTGTAGTTAGTATGATGCCACTGAAAATTGACTGCTTTTGGAAAAAATTTGTAACAGCACTTTTAATAATAAATATTCATACATTCAGATCATAAAAATGTGTTCAGATTGGGGACTCAGAATTTCCAAGATGGAATATTCCTGTACTTAATGGCATTCAAAAGCAATGGAATATAAGTCAACTTGGGAAACTAAGACTGCCAAGAAAGAGACCTACAACAAGTTATATCCCATCTAATGGTAATTGAAGTTGTGTTTGTGGACCTGTTACATGGTTGGTGGCAAAAGTCATCCACATGCCCCAGCCAACAGTACACAGCATAATCAAGAAGGATCTCCACTTGGAAAAGTGATGCAAGTTATGTTTATGTAAGTTACTTTCACAACATATCTGTTTAACTGTCACATACCTTAAGCAGCTGAAGAATGAAATAGGTATTCATTCTATACCATACAAAGACATACCTGTCAAGTTGACAAATAACAGCACCTATAGATTTCTGTGCAATCAGTATGTTGAAACTGGTGCTGGGAGATCATTGTCCTAAATGGGTTATGAAAAGCTGCAGAGAGACATTGTGTATTTTGGACATGATAACATTATTATGGAGCCATTTGCAAAGAAATTACACTGCAGGGTTATTGTCAAGATACGTGGTCATCAGATAGAGCATGGCTGTACAACACAGACTGTAACAACATGATGAAGCACTAAAATCATTTTAATATAACATACTCACCGAACCTCATTAAGAGTTCAGTTTCATTGACAGTTGCAAGTACCTGATATTTCATGTTGCTTTAATTCTTAAATAAACAAAGGAAACTGCTTAGTTCAGAGTGACACTTGGGGGACTAATTTACAAAAGTAGCTCATGTAGAAATGACAACGTTTTAAAAGACCTCTGTCCTTGTTTGTTCATCATGAATACTCTGCCTAAATAATCTTTAAAAGAATGCTTAAATTTTTGTTACTTTTTTTTGAGTTGTGTATCATTAGGTCTTTGAAGTTGGTGACATGCTAATGATCATTACTGGCTGGTTCTTTAAAATAGAACTGGTAGTAGGGTCATTTGAAAATATATTTTAATTATTAATTTTGATATATGATGTGCTTGTTGATATGATTATAAGTTTATACAAGAATAATATGGTTCTTGTGTTCTATATTTACCCTACTTAGAACTTAGTCCTAGGTAAAGTCATTAGAAACAAGGGAGTTTGGATAACCCATTCTAATACAGTATTTGTAGTATTCACCTTATAGCTTTTGTTCTCATTGCCTTATTATTGTTTTAAGATCAAGACATATCAAAGCATTACATGAAAAATCTGTTTTCTTATGCATACTGGCAGTTCAGTAATATTGTACAAAAATTTTGATCTCAAGAGAGAGAGAAAAGTGTTTTATCAGATGATTCCTGCATGAATTCTAGAACAGGATGATAAGAAGCTACAAAAGATAAAATGAAGGATTAGTTCTGTCTTAGGCATAGAAACTGCTTTCACTATGTTATCAATGTACTGACAGGAACCATGAGTAGCTGTCTAATGTATTGGCTGAACATATGACCTTCAGTGTATCCAGTAAAAAGGTTTGTAAAAGCTGAGCCCATCTTTTTGTGTAGCAATTCAGCAAATCTACTTAGTAACAGTTTCCATTAAAACTGAAGCTGTTTAATTTGAATACACATTCAGCTAATCATTGTAATGTTTGTGTGTGAGAGGATCAAGTAAGAATCTCCGATTTAAAAATATTTAAGTTTGATCAGGCCTTCACTGTGTGAAATAGAAGCGTACAGTGATTTGATGGCCATAGTGAATATGTAGTTTTCATTGCAAGTTTAATATATGCCCTGAGTAAAGAAGACAGCTTGAATAGTATCCTTAGTGTATGTTAGTAACATGCTAACATAGAGTACCAAAATTTAAATGTATTTGAAAATGAAAGACTCTTACTAGAAGTATGAGTTAGCTTCAGTATTAACTTATTCAAATCATACCAATACAAAGGAAAAGGATAAGATCAAACTACAGAAAGCTGACGTAATTAAGGAATTAAACTGAGTGAAAACTTCTAATTCTGTGGGCTGTGCAAGAGTTTAAACATGCTGAATTGAACTCTTAGTACATAATCTGTAGAATACTTAACTGTCTTTAGACCTAGGAAACTGAGCTTCCATAATGCAAGAGACAATCCTTGTAATTGTGTTCCTCAGTACCTGTCATCCACCTAGATCTAGCAAGAAAGAACAAAGCAATAAAAGTGTAAACATGGTAGATGCATGTTAGATAATACTTCTGGTCACTAAGAAAACTGACTAATATGAATGTATGTCTCTGATAATCGAAGTATTTGATATGTTTAGTCTGTGCCAGTTGAGACATTTTAACCATGTACACAAGATTATATTAACCTCTAATTAACTGTTCTGTAATCTGTTCCTTATGGAATTATGTTACATAATCCCTTAATGTATAATTCACCCAAGGAAAATACATACTTAAAAGTGCTATCATACAAAAAATATGTTAACATGTACACCAATATTTTCTTCTTGGATTTAAAAATAATCCCTATATTTAACACTATAACTACCTGAACTGCCACCAAAAGTTCTCAAAATTATTCTTGAGCTTAAGTCATGGCCAGTTATCCCTTAAACACAAAATTACATCAGTGTTTTGCAAGAACTTTTTATCAGTTTAACTTTGCATCTTTTGGACATGAGATTTATGGAAACATGCATGCTGAAGGCCAGTATAATTTACTCCTTTTCTTACTTGTACCACCATTCTTTAAGGCATATTTATATCTGTGTTCAGTTATAAATAAAATTTATTTTGAAGTTGTTTCAAATTAAACACTGTGTAACACAACATACTTATGATCATCATGCTCAGGTGTGATATACATTGATTTACTACAGATAGTTATGAGTATCTGCAATACAGGAAGTTCTAGAAATGTTTGCAGAGAATAAAATGGTTTAATACAGCAGAGGAAAACTAGCAAACACAAATGAACAAATAGAACAAAATCTTTATTAATACAACATTGTAAATCTTACTCAACTGGCCAGCCTTTAAGCTCATTTATAGCTGGCTGCTGGGGCAGAGAGCAGTATTTCTTATGTTGACATAAGACAACAAAAAGAACAAGAATAATGAAGATATCACACTGTTAGGGTAGACCAAGATCTTTGCATTGGGTCCCACAATCCTTAATTATCTATATCGATGATCATTTGTATTATATATCTCCAAGGGAGACAAACCTTCAACTAGTACTAACTTAAAAAAGTAGTTTCAACCTTTGAAGTGAGTGTGACTTCACTTCAGGAAGGCATGACACACAAATAGGATCAAGTAAGTATAAACCTTATAGAATAATCCTTGTGATATGTATATAACCTTGGTCTAAGCAAGAGGATTAGTGCAGGTTTCAAATCTTTGTACATGTGACTTACAAAGATGACACTGAGCACATGCAGAACAGTTAAATGAAATTTTGAAATACTTACTAGAATATAACTAAATAATGATATATTCTCAAAGTTAAGGTAGGGCGAAATTAGCAGTTCTTTCAACTGGGATATATGCATAAAATTATGTTAATAATCTCTAAAATATGAAAAAGACTACAAAAAGGGGAACTTGTAATGGGAAACTGAGAGAGAGTTAGATGGAGGATAACATAAGACTTTGTAAACAAATGTGTACTGAGAGAGTTATTGTGGTACCTATGCAGTGTATAACTCAAACATGTATGTGGTCTTGAACAGCTACCTCAAACCAGTTAAAAATTCTATTTGATATTGTAGAAAAGCAAAGCTAATGCTAAATATAAAGGTATATAACCAAAATGTTCAGCATTAACCCTTTCACACAGATACCCCTTTAAACACTTCTGCACAAATCACTGACTTACATTCAAAATTTATTTAAGAACCTTTACTATCAATGTTTGTGAATAAAATCAACATTATAATGTATGGTGTGATTCAAAGTTTTATGTTATCTAAGTTTAAGTCCCTTATTTTAAAAGGAACCTTTAAAAAAGTACTTAAAACTTCAGATGTATTGTCATGTGACCCACAAGCTATGAAAAATTCTCTACTTTGGCTCTTTGTATCTTCAGTAATATAAAGCCAGTTATGTAGATGTATGTCTAGACAATAAGACTTTACTTAACCTATTGACACGTACATTTCAAAGTTCTCTGGATGAATGCAGTTGAAACAAGTAATAAATTTTGTCAACCTCTGACTGGTGCCACACACCCTCTTCAATAGATTTGTTTGAACTTTACAGCCTACATATAGAGGTTATATATGAATGTATATAGTCATTAGAAAGAACTAATTTTGTACTATAATCCAACAATGGTTATTTTGAAATTGGCGTACAGTTTTCGCCACAGGGTATGTTTAACTACCTATAGTATTGTTGGCGGCTTGATCAACTTTAGCACCTACAGTTGTTTCTTACCTAAATATGTTATATTTAGAGATGCAGTTAAACTGTATTTAGGTGTGACTTTTATATTTTAGTTAATTAT